AAAACGATCTAAAAGTAGTTAATACGAATTATTAGATTTCTATGGAGCTTCAATTCGGATATGAACTGTACTTCTAATACTTTCAAGGAATCATTCAGTCAATAAGAACTTCATTTATGTTTACTAAGGACTAACACACTCAACATATTCTTCAGTCAGTCTTATGATAATAAAGTTATCATGTACTTAGATTTTATTCTATGAGTTCTACTTGTGAGATAATGTGTTTTGGTCTATAAGACTTTTCAGCTAAATTTCATCATAGAATGATAATTACAAAGTTGAGGAGAGATCGTAATCACCACTTAATTGAAAAATTTTTAAATTAATACTCACAATGCATAGATTTATCATCTTGAGAATAAACGATTTCGGTAAATAAACAAACTCCTTGTTATTAGTTTTACTCAGGTCTACCGCTGAGGAATATTGTATTATCCTTCGTAATTATAAAATCCTTTTCTTTTTTTCAGGCGTTGAAAATTTAACACGTCGTGCTGTTCGTCTACGTGTTCTTGATTTAAGTGATTCAAGTTTAATTACTGATAAATCAGTAACGAGTGTTCTACGTAATTGTCTTCATTTAGAACATATTGCATTTTCACGTTGTTATGCAATTGCACCTATTACCTATGCGTATGTATTCATTTCAAGAAAAAGTAATATGTATCTTCTTTTTATTATTATTAAAACTAATTAGATCATTAAAACAATTACGGCATCTTAATTCTTTGGATATATTTGGTGTTGTTGATCAACGCGGTTTAGAAAAATTAAATTCTTTACTTGGTTCATCGATTAGTTTAAATCAACAACGTTTTTCTTATGTTGCTCGACCTACTTATGGTGTCCGTCGAACAGCAATTTGGGGTCTACGAACACGTCCTTAAGAGAATTTTGTTTTTATTTGAATGTGTGTGTGTGTGTGTTTTGTAGTTGAGCTTTAATAATAATGACTTTTGTATAACAATTGTTTTGTTTTGTTTTTCTTATAGATAATGTCAAATACTTCAGATGTAAAAAATGAAATACCTGGTCAATGGCTGGTAATTGATTAAAACAAAATAAAAAAGAATTATTCTTTTCTTGTATATTATTTATAGATTAAACCATGTGAAGAATATAATGATGAATTAAGCTATTGTCGAAGTAAGATTTTATTGTCAAATTTTATTTTTCGAAAAATCTTTTTATAATTAGGTTGGCGAGGTCGATTATATCAAAGATATATGTTAGGTGAACGGAAAGATTGTGCACCAATTGCTGAAGCATTACATAATTGTATGTTTTGGTTACAACGAAAAGATGTTCAAGAATTAGTAAGAAGAGTTTTTTATTTGTCTTTCTATATAATTAAGTTTAATAAAGACTTTTTTATTGTATTAGAAAAACTTGATATCTTATGAAGAAGATCGTCTTATTCGACGGAAATTATCTGCAGAAAATAATGATGTATGGCAACCTAGAACCGAACCACCAAGTGATTGGAATGCACCACTACCAGAATGGGCACGTAAACGGGCAGAATCGATTGGACAATACAAACAAAAACAGACAAACTAAATTTTGGTTTTTTTTTTTATGTAGTTAATTCCTTTTTTTGAAAACATATATGATAAATTTAGCTGTGCAGTGAAAAGATTGTTAATCTCTTATGAAACAGATCTATCAACTGACGATAACCGATGAACTAATTATTGACACTATTTAAGTAAACTTAACGGAATATATAATCATAGATATGTATGATTGTGAATAAAATTTGTCAAAATAAAAAATTAATCGCTTGACAAAGGTATTCAGTGACTAACAAACTCGACACATTTTTCAAACAATCTTCACTGTTATCTTATAATAATGAAGCTATTTTTCAATTTCACTTCTTGTTAATATTCACCATTTTCGAATTAAAAAAAAACAAGACTCTATTTTACTAGTCGATGAAAGAAGATCAGTATTGAAACGATTCTGTTCATTTATATTTTTATATACTTTGATGACCTCTGCCTAGTATTGTTTCTATTGGACTACCATGTTTCGAAAATCTTAATAGAGGCATTAAATTCGTTTTTTCTCGTTACTACTACCATTCATATACCAGTTAAACAAACTATTCTACTAAATGGATTAGAAGTAGTCATATAGTATTTTTTTCACTTTTAGACGGCTGGTCTTCGATAAAGATATTAAAACACAAATTCGTATTCGAATGCTGTAGAGAATAGTATTAAATAGATTATTGACTAACATATATTTATATGTAAATTCTTGCGATGATGTTTTGATATTTCTTCACGTTAATCTGAAGATTTTTTGATGAAATTTATTCAATAAATTTGTCTGAGCAAGATTAAATATTTTTACTTGTTTTTTTTTTCAAGTTTAAAATCGTCATTGAATACAATTACAAATGTATCTTTGGTAGACGATAATAGTTATGAAAAGTATTTAAAAAAAAGATAATTTCGAATATCATATACGAGAATCTCAAGAATAAAAGAGATGGCTCAATTAATTGAATTGAAATGCATGAGAATCCATCCAGTCAAATCGGAAAAGTTCAAACTACGGAGATCTTATTGATTCAAATTGAAATTGAACAAGAGAAGCAATAAATACTGATTTTTTTGTTTCGTTTAACTTCTCGATATTTATTTCATGGTTTCTAATCTTTTCTTTAATCAATTTGATATATTCAAAAAATTTAGGACCTTATTGCTTTTATATACTTACGAAGATAATTTCAATTGGTAAAAAGGAGAAATGTCGAATAATTACGAAGGCGATCACTTATTTGAAAATATGATAAGGCTTACGAAGCTCATGCGAACAGACTTGAATGTTCGTTTGTTTATATACTGAAGATCTTTAGCTAGGCTAGTCTTACAATGAAACACTTCAACATTTAATGAATGGGTGTAGACATAGGCGAGTGACGAATACTATATCCACACCCATCATTAAATGTATACTAGAAGAAAAATAATGGATATTAATTCAAATGCAAATCATTTTATTACATAATTTATCACTCATTATTACAATAAAAAATATTTAATATTCCTCCTGATAATCACAATTGTTTTTAATATTTCGTTGAATATAAATTATTTCTATCAATTTATTTAATTTACAAAATCAATTAAAACTTCTTTGGAATCAACAATAGTATCTGATACTTTACAAGATGTATCGAAAAGAAACTATCATCACCTTACTCTCTGTCCAAGATTCGCGTGCATGTTTATTAAAGAATAATGTTCCAAAATTTTTAAGTAATGAAAGACTTGATATCCTATTAGATTCCAGAGAAAAACAATATTAACAACAATTTACAGCATATGTATCGTATGATTACTTGCCAATACAACGAATAGTGATTAGAATGAAAATCGCAAAATTTGATTTCAGACCTTACTCATGCAGCCGATTGTTGCATTAATATGTAATTATTGTTATTATAATGGAAAATAATGGCAATAATTACATATGATAACGGAGCAACCGACCACACGGGTAGTCGAAGAAATATATTGATTATAATACATTTGAATTATCTCCAGTCAGTTCAATTGATAATAATATATCATTTACATAACTCATTTCATCTATCATCACATGTTATATTGAACCTGCTGCGTAAAATTAAACAAATGAGCGAACAAGTTTTATAAAGGAATATGAAAAACTTAGTTAATTAATTTTAAGAGAAAGAAAAAAGATATACAACAGTAGTGATACATGAAGACAATATTAGAAATCTTATAAGTATGGAATAATTCCTCACAGAATTAAGCATCTAATTTATAGTAACAGATGTAAAAAAGATTCTTCATCATAATTCAGTCAATACATAGAATCACGAACATATTAGTTATTCTAGTATATGGATCGATAACTTTTCGTTATTCTTCTTGTTCATCCCATACATTATCTACATGTGACTTTTAATTTTTGACATTTTTCATGTTAACCTTCACTCTATATCTTTCTCTATGTCGTTACTTATTTTCTATCTTTACTTATATTTTCCCTTTCAAAATGTTGATAAACTACATTTTCATTTGTCAGAGAAAGCATGTTACAGCGAAACGCCATAACATATATCTTTCTTTGTTTTCCATTCGTTTTGATGATATCCTTACATCATCGATTCACTTCTATTGTTTGTCTTTAACTGATATTTGTCGTTTCTCTTTCCTCTGTTTCACCTTCGTAGGCACACATACATGTATTTATATTTGTTTATATATAGTTGTTTTTCTTAAATCAAAGGTAGGATTCATTTTCTTTTAGTTATTTCAACGAAAGTAAATTTCTCATTAGATTCTTTCGATAACAGTCAGTAAAAGATGAAACTACCAACAGTGAATTGAGTATATATCTGTATACATAAGAAAAAACTTAGTTATGATGAGTTCTCATTCATTCGCTTGAAATATTTTGACATAAAAAACTTGCAATTACAGCAAATTTGTAAGATCTACTGAATCAAATAACAATCTAAAACTAGCACAGTAGATTTAAGGTTATCTGATTTCTTTATACAGAACCTTTCGTCTCCTATGTATCTATGACTAAGTATTCAGCGTCGAGAATATATTACTTCCTTAAGACTTTATTGAGCTGTTGTATTTATACCAATGATAGTCAACATATTCTTCACAGATATCTATTTCTAGAAATTTCAAACTCGAATATGCTGGAATAAAATCTACTATAGCTGATTTTCAATATCATCATATGAAGTGATCTCTAGTAAAGAGGAAACGGGCAGTTGCTCGTAGGACTAGATGTGGGTGACTCATAGCAACTGTCCTAAACCCTTAGAAAAAAATTATTTTGAATTATTTATATGTACTTATATTAACCTAGACCATCTTTCTTTTTTTTTTAGTCAAATGACAGAGAAAGCTACTTAAAGTTTTAGGAACATTAATCTTTCATATAGACAATCAACTTTTCTTGTTAATATTTGAAGTGTGTGTATGTATTGTTTATGTCACTTATCGAATTTGTATACGCAATGACAAT